TCACTTCATAACCTCATAATCCATAAACTCAATAACCCTGAAGTGTACCATAAGAAAATTGCATGCCACAATATACCTCCGAATCATGTACAATTTAATATCATAACTCCACATCCCCATAATTCCGTACAACCTAATACCTGAAAACTCCATAATCCCAAAATTCCCATAATCATATACCCCAAAACCCTACAATCCTATAACGCAGAAATTTCATAACCTTATAGCCCCATAGCCGTGACAACATAGCGGAACAACTCCGTTGACCACTGTCACCGCGTGGAGGTGCCCAGAATTCAAATCTTAGGTGCAAGTACATTTACTATTTACTATTGTATTTTAGGGTGGTAGGGTCGTGAGGTTATAGGGTTACAAATTTAAAGGTGATGAAGTTACAGAGATGTGGTGTCGTGAAGTCCACCTCAAAGTATTTTTTTTGTCGCATTTAAGAGTTGTAGTGTTAAGGGGTTTTGGGTTATAGGGTTATGAGGTTTTGTATTACTGGGGTTATATGCTATTGGGGTTATAGGGTTAAGGGACTTCAGGGTTTTGGGACTTCAGAGTTATGGGGTTTATGGGGTTTATGGTTATGAAGTGATGGATGTATAGGATGTATATTTTTTTGCTCTTTTTGTGTATCGATCTCATGGTTATTGAGTTATGAATATAGGGTTATATGGTTTAAGGGTTGATATTGTTGGATTTCATAGTTTCAAGCTGTTTTTTGAGGTTAGAAAAAAACCTTGACGTGATGGGGCAAAACAGGTTTCGAATTGGGTTTCAGCGACCCAAACAACATATAATCCACTTGGTCTGGTTCAAGGAACGCTCCACTAATTTTTGTTTGTGGTCCTGTGTTATTTTTTGTTTGGATATCTGAAAATACTAATTTTAAAACAGCAATGCGCAACATAGAAGAATTAAAAGCAGCAATTATTCGAGAAATTAACAATATTACAGAACAGCAACTGCAAAATTGTGCCTAGCTAGTGAAATATACCTTTTCGAACATAATATACAGAGTGTAAGAAGTTTGACTGCCATTACTTCAGCATGAGATAGAGTAATCATGAATGAACAAAAAAAGTTTATATTACAGGGGCGTAAGATTAACAGTTTTCAAAATACAGCGAGGATTAATATTGGTTTCATCACAACGTGACAACAGCGCTTAACCTAACGCTACACACCTGAAGCAGTACCACGTGTGCACGCGGCAGACTTGTCCTACGGAAAAAATTTAAACAACTAATATTGTGAAACATCTAGTAAATTCCGAGACAATTGTTTTCCAGTTTTTAAATAAATAAAATAAAATGTATCAATTTTGTAGTAAGTAGTGTTGTACTTAAATTTTAGCTCGAATTTTAGTAATTATGAATATCTTAAAACAGGAAATTAACTTTTAATTAAATTATGAATTTGAAAAATATATAATAATTAAAGTACCTAAAGATTCACGAGGTTCAAATAATCATACGTATTAAAAAATATTTAGGTACTTACCAAAAAGCAAAATTCAGTTATTTTTAAACGCACAATTACAAAACAAACTGCAACATATGCCTAAAATGTCCACCACCATTTTCGATGCACGCACGACTCCTTCGAATCCAATTTTCGCGCATTCGCTGGAAAACACCTCAAGAAAAGGAAATAGTGGTACGCAAAAAACACTCAGACACGGTCCAATTCCAGATACCAACTGAAATGCGTATTGATGGACAGTTTAGTTCGTGTTATCCGCCCCGATATGAATTTTATCGAATTTTAAATTTATTACAGCGCTAATTATTTTTTAGAATTAAGCATAAAGACGTTAAAAAATGTGATAAACATTGTTTTTTATGGTATTCTATGCACGTAGTTATGTCAATAGTCCTTAAATAATCGGACTTTTGTACATCAAGTTGCAGATTTTGATAATTTTTTTTCTCAGAAATGGTGGAGTTTAGGACCCATGTCATATAAGGTTTTCTATTTATTTTAATGTATTCTATCGTTTGTTAAATTAAGGCAGTCAAACTTTTAACACCCTGTATAATGTTTTTATCGCAAATATGGCAATATAACTTACTAATTTATGAATTTAAATTTATTTTATATTGCAGCGAAGAGCAATGGTTTGTAAATTAAGGTAACTTTTTTATAATGCTATTTTATCTATAATAAAAGTACTGTCTATATTTTGTTTTGCTCTGTACTTAACTAAAAATAATAATAAGCTGTTATAGGTTCACATCATGCTCTTTTTGCCTTGAAGCTGAAGTTTGATAGTTTTCTCCTTTTAATAAAGTTAAAAGCATTTTCAACTAAAAAACAAAAATTATGTTTCGAAAGTATACTAAATTATATGTATTAAGTTTAATATCGATAGTTCATGTCAATCAATTTTAAAATTTGGACCTGTGTTTAGGGGACACGCTGTGATTAAGAAAATAAATGAGAAAACTTTATATTTTTCTAAGGTTTATATTCAAATTTAGAAAACCTATGAAACTATATTAAAAAAAAAAGATAATGAAGCTTACCAGCAATTAGGCCATGCTTGGCCCTTTTTGCCTGCTAACTTACACTACCCTCCACCTTAACAATCACAAACATCCATGGTACGACAGGAAAATTCGAAAGAATTTTCCTGCCGCGTGCGGGATTCGAACCCACTACGGTTTTGCCGCACAGCCCTGGCTCGCCTCTGTAGGCAAATGAAACTATATTAAAATTAAGATGGATTTTATTTAGTTTACCTACTTATAATAAAACATTGTATGTATAATGATTATATTCTTGATACAGTCACTTGATCGATAATAATACAAACTTTTCCTGTGGTAATACAGTCTAGATGATGTTTTAGTGCTTAGGTATAAACAAACCTGGCATCAACCATCAACCTTGCTAATTTAATTTTAATGTATAACTTTGTGACCAAACTTGTTAATCTGCTTGATGCCTACAGGTATTTTGAAATATAACGAGCTAATTAAATCAGTAAGTTATATTACCTAAATGTAAGAGGGTTCTGAAAATGAAAAAACAACTTAATGAAGGTATACGGGATTTTTATTTGAATTTTAAAATAAAGGCGTTTGATTTTTTCATAAATTGTCAATATTTTTAACCAATCACTGCTTTTGCTATTATTATTATGTCTAATAAATGCCTTCCTTAAATTTAAAATAATGTGTTTAAGTACGTTTATTTTCACAACACAGGGAACACATTGTGGTGAATGAATATAGCAAAATATTAATGTAGCAAAAAATTGCAGACAAAGAACACCAATATTTTTTATGACCTAGTAAAATTGTACTTTCTACATACCCTACGGCGTCCACTAAACGATTGTCCAATTGTTCGTGTCATTATCTTTAATTATTTCTAATTGTCAATAAACTAATGACTTTTTATCGAGAGGAATCGCTTCTTTCGTAAAATATCTATTTGTATACGCTTCGTTGTTCTTTCGTTGACATTTAAATCGTAAACAAAATGTTTAAACAGCTTTCTAAGATAACACTGGACAGGTTACGTGACATTTCACTCTCGCTTAATGATAATAAAATTTATTTCTACGTATAAACTTGTTTTATAGTCGAAGGCTAATCCTGGCTAGACTTTAGATGGTTTGAGAATCCATTTGTACCAGTCAGGGCCCTTACAAAAAATATGCAAATATTGTTATGTCATTACTTCTTTTTAGAAATATTTAAAAAAATACCAATTTTTGCTACACTTTTCAGTGCTAGGAATCTAAAGTTGCGAATTATAAAAATATAAATATGTTTTGTTGCACCGAATAGGAAAGAATTTCAAAAATTTTCTCTCACTTAAAATATCGAATTAAAATAAAAGAAATGTCTTGTCAGGAATTTTGTATAGCTACAAATTGTTCCTCTTTTAATATTTCAGGTGCTAAGAATGTTTGCTGTACTTTTGAATGCCAATTATATACAGGGTGTCCAAAAAGACCTGAATCCTCTAATGACTTTCCAGGATTGGATTCAATAAAACAACTTAGATAAAAGTTGTAGCATATTAAGAAATCAAAATACCAATATACTTGTGACTTTGAATTGACTTTGATCTTTCAAGGTAAAACCAAGGTCAACTTGAAAATATTACCTTATTTTTTGTGCCAGTATCAATAGGGCGCCAAATTTTACCTCATAAAATGGGGTCAGACAATTTTTCCGATACGTTCCTGAAGATCGTTTGAAGGTCAAACAATTTTTTTTCTGAATAAATCGAAAAAATCGAAATGTGAAAAAAATATTTCTTGTATGATTTTGACAAATTAGGTGGTTACTTTAGATTTGATCTTCACCATAAGTTGCAGGGTCATCCTAAGGTCAGTTTAATATCAAATAGAATGCCGAAACAATTTTTCCAGAATATCTTAGCAGGTCAGTTGAAGGTCAATCTCATTTTTCATAAAATTAATGGATATAAAAAAATCTTTGTTGTAAATACACATTTTCTATTATAGTAATTATTTCTGTTCTTCTATATTTAATTAGCTTTAAGGAGGTATATCGGGTTTACTAAAATGCACAGATGTACTTGAAATTTATATAGCGTGTTACCCAGTGCTCCCTCTGTGCGTCATATTTTTTTGAATCTAGATTTTGAGATATTGTTGTTGAAAGTTGTTCATTTTAACATAGGTTTATAATGGCGAAGATGGACGGCGCGGCTCTTTTTGCCCATAACTGAGAAAAAAATGTAGAAATTGTGAAACAAAACTTTTCCATAGATAGTACACAGTATTATCTTATTTTTTATGTAAAACTAATGTAAGTTTTGAACATAGTACAGCTGTATTAATTAGAAACAGAAACCAATAATTGCATTTCTGTCTGACTTGAGGATTAATGTGGCAACGTCGCAATCAGCTGACAGCAAGGAGGGAATACATTTGAAAGACTTGATAAAAACGAAATTGATTTCAAACATATACATCTTTCCTAAATCCCATGTACATTGTTATCAACAATAAATTATCCACAACAGANCCGTCTACACGCACCGGCTAACCCAATAATTGTTGCTACCTGAAAATGAAGCAAATTAAGTTGATACTTTTATATCCTACAATCGTAATATTTTGTTAAAATTACCTTTAGCATTAGATATGTTTCATTATCTGCTTCTCTAATGAATTTGTTGATTTGCTCGCTGCTGAAGACTTCTGATTTCTTTGCTTTATAACCAACATTCTTCCTTTTAAGAAATGCGATTACCTTTGGGAAAGTGGCTATGTTTACATTTTTCTTCACTAAAATGGTACTTTTCAACATAGAGTACATGCTCCACAGGGTAGAGGATTTGACAGTTTCAGATTTTTGCGCCAAGTAAGCTAAAATTACATCCTCTGTAATAGTTTTGCATTTCTTCATATCCATCCATCTCGTGAACAAATCATAAACGTTTTCGTACCTGGACTTTGATTTTTCAGGCAATAATTGTGCTGTAGCAGCAGCTGCTGCATTGGAAATTTCGTAAGGCACATTTTCAAACTCACTATCGCTGTTGCTTTCCATAGTTTATTGCGACAATTGCGACCAAAAACCATGCAAACTTTCGAAAATTAAAATGTCAACTAATTTCACTTCAGATAGCTGTCAGTCGTTATTTCGTTGCTATGGTAATGTTCAACTGCATTTATCAAAATCATACCTTCCAAGATTTTCATATTCACAATGACAACAACGATGTGATTCTTCCCGGCCTAGTCCGGGAAGTGCGTACTTCCCGGACTAGGCCGAAAAAATGCTACTTTCTCAAAGAAAAAGCGTCCGGGAAGTAGCCACTTCCCGGACGGTTGCCGAAAAAAGATTTTTAAAGGGAACTTTTATTGTAAATTAACATTTTCTATTATAATAATCTTTCCTGTACTTCTATATTCAATTAGCTTTAAGTAATTTGTGGACATTGTTTTGGGCTATAAAGCCTGTGTTTGTCCCTTATCCATAAATAAATAAATAAATAAATAAATAAATAAATAAATAAATAAATAACTAAATAAATAAATAAATACAAGTAACATACGCATAGGCATTTGACTGAAACTATTACTATGATCTTGACAACAATTCTGGAATTGAACACATTGTTAGGTTAGTAATTAAAATTTAATATTTTTAAGACAAACACAAAACTTTTATCACATTCTGAATATTGCAAATGTTTTGCTGCACTTCTGAATACGTATAAAAAATAAAAAAAATACTATCCTTTTGAATATTATAAAATATTGAATTGAAACCTAAAATTATTTTGTCAGGAATTTTATATACAGATTTAATTTTATATGTTTTACAATCTATGTAATAATTTGTGAATATAAAAATATTACAAAAAAATTACTACACTTTTGAATATAAAACATTGAATTGAAATCAAAAAATGTCTGGTCAGACATTGTTTGTACTGACTAAATATCTCGTAAACTAATCATTTTTGTTATATTTTTGAACGCCAGGAACTATAAAATGTGTATCATACTTTTGAATATCACAAATGTAAGTAGATGTCTTCCTACACTTTTGAAAATAAAAAAAAAATCTAAAAAAAAATACTGTGCATTTGAATATTATAAAATATTTAATTGGAACCAAAAAATGTTATGTCACCAATTTTATGTATCGATTTTCTTTTAAATGTTCTGCAAAATTTTTGCTGTAGTTTTGAATGCTAGGGATTTAAAAATGTTTTATAGAGGTTTTTAATATTAAAAGTATAAGTATTTTGTTGATTCTGATTATAAATTATTAGAAAAAGATTTACTGCATTTTTGAATATTATAAATATAAGTAGGTGTAAGGTTTTAAGACAAGGCGAGAGTTTTTTTATATTTATTTTCTACCTCACTTTTGAACACCAAAAATCAGCAGAAATATGTCTTCATTACATCTCTATTTCTGGGATGCCACCTGTCCGCACCTGTAATTTTATAGACACTTCAAAGTGAGGGCCTATCGCAACAAAAATCGTCAAAATGCCACTTTAGAAACCAAAAACCGGCTTCCGAGACATGACTTAAAGAGAACCGCCACAGAAGGACCGTTTGAAATTATGCAGAGACTCCGATAAGGACAGGGAGAGTGACAAAGACCTGGAAACAGTCGGGAAGTGCTAAGAACCTCGATTATTGCCACATCTAATGGATTCCGTGTCGGTTTATCTAGTTTCGCACAATACTGTAATGTTAAGCAGTATTTAGTTGCAGCTCTTGTAGCGCATAAAATCGAGACGAAAGAATAAATTTCGAGGCGGCCGTCTGGTGTTCCGCGAATAAATTTACATGAATATGATATAGAAGATAGGCGCACATCAAAGGCGTGCCGCCAGAACGTGGAAAAAACAGTTAAAACGGACTTTTTAACAGCCATATAGTCTTACATTAACGTTAGACATCGCTACGTCCAGATATGCATCTGCTTTTGAGTGAAAAAGGGCCTACCCGCCAGATGCTAAGCTCAGATGAAAATGGAGATCGTGAAATGTTTCGCCAAGAGCCGAGATTTGTCAAAAAATATTGGAAATACATGTAGAGGGAAATTGTATGTATATTAAACTTAAAATGAAGGAGAAAGTCATTTACAAACATATTACAGTACACCCTGGATAGAGAAATAAAATTTTTGGAAAACTCTCTCAAAAATAACATTTTAATTATTTTGTTTCCGAAGTGTCAAAAAGACACTAAGACAAGGCTTTTTTTTCAAGAATAAAAAAAAGGTTTTTTCCCGATCATCAATTTTATTATTAAAAACGTGGGAATTAATTTTGATCACATAAAAGATTGGTTTGAGTGTAAATAATTAACATTAATTTTTCAAACACTGAAACTCACATTAAATGTACTAATTAAAATTAGAAGTCTTGTATCTAAATTTAAATATTTAAAGTATATTTTGAACACTGAGAAATTTACGGTTGTTCGTCTTATACTTTGGTGAAATCTGAACGTAATAAAAAAAGTCTTGATATATTACAAAAATGAATCTTAAAAATCATATATTAAAAAAGAAATGACCCCAGCGGAGATCTTTATGATTTATAAAACGTTCTTAGTATTCGATTTAAATTTAATTGCGAAACAGAAAAAGAAGCGAACAAGATCAGTATTATCTATAATTACAAAATACAGGAATTGGGTTTTATGGCTAAATATTCCACTAAAACAGTAATAATTTGCTTATTTACTTCTAAAAATGTATATGGAGACTATGGAAAACTAATAAATTCAATTGTAATTTTTAAAAGACACATTAAGTAATAAATAAACCACTTATTTTTTGCTACAATCATATTACACTTTAACTGTAGCAAAATATTGAAGCATATTTACTTCAGCATTATCAGATTATAATAAATCTAATCTTAAATTATTTAGATCTCGCTACCGGTTTGAAATTTCTAAAGCTAAGAAAATGGCTAACGGTACTTTTATAAAAACGCATACAAATTCCCAAAAAGCAATTTGGAATTTAGTTAATAATACTAAAATTAGTTACTCAAATAATTTAAGTAACTTGACACCCTAGCAGTTTAATAACTATTTTATAAATGTTGCTAACAATGTTATAAGCAATTTACCCGTTAATAACAACGATTTAAATAGCTGCCTCCAATTACTCCGTGCAGTGAATAGTTTTTCCTTTTCTGAAGTGTCCCCTTGGGAAGTCATTGCTATTGTTAAGAGTTTTGAGAGCAAACCCTGTTTGGATGTATATAATATTTCAACAAAAATTTTAAAATCAATAATCGACCCAATTAATACCTTGCACCGATTTAATTAATTACTGTATACGTAAAAATATTTTCCCCCAATGTTTAAAAATTTCTAAGGTTGTTCCTATTTATAAAAATAATGATATTAATAATCCCTCTAATTTCAGACCTATCTCTGTAATACCTCATATAGCTAAAATATATGAAACTATCTTAAAAATACAAATAACTAATTATTTTGAGACTCAGGGACTTTTCAATCCTCAACAATTCGGTTTTCGAAGTAATCTATCGACCACACTAGCCATAGATTGTCTAACATCTACAATAAATAATAGTTTTGAAGAAGGGAAATACGTTGCTAGTCAATTTTTAGATCTGACAAAAGCTTTCGATTGTGTATCACACGAAATTCTTATACATAAGCTAGATAATTATGGTTTTTCATCGTACAGTTCGGATTTATTAAGATCATATTTGAGTAATAGATTACAGTATGTTGTATATAATAATGTGAAATCATCCATAAAAAATATTGAACATGGAGTTCCACAAGGTTCCATATTGGGTCCGTTACTGTTTTTGATATATATTAATGATTTTCCTAATTGTTTGCCTTATGATACTAAAAGTATACTCTTTGCTGATGATACCAATATAACTAGAACCAACTTAAACTTTGAACAGTTAATGACATCAACTTATGACCAACATGCATCAGTAGAAAACTGGTTTACTAGTAATCAACTCAGTTTGAATACTTCGAAGACCGAAACTATGATTTTTAGTCTGCGGAATATGGAAAACTGGGATAATCCAGCACGTGTAAAATTCTTGGGAGTTCATCTTGACCCTAAACTGACATGGGATGAACATGTTAATTATGTTTCCTCCAAGATATCAAAACATACTTATTTACTCCGAAGTCTCAAACGAAGAGTCCCAATATCAAGCTTGCTGATAGTTTATCATGGCTATATCCATTCCATCATAACATATGCTATTTTAGTATGAAAAAAGTTTTTACTCTTCAGAGAAAAATTGTTAGAATCATATCTGACCTTGGATTTAGAGATGACTGTAGAGAGCAGTTTTCTAAATTGAACATTCTAACTGTACCCTGTGCATATATACTTCATTGTCTTATTTATGTCAAAAAACACATAAATAACTTTGAAATCAGAAGTGAGACTCACTCTTATAATACCCGAAAGAGCACATACTTATGTAATAAATTTCTAAGACTCACTAAAACGCGGGTCGGTACTAATTATTGGGCCATCAAATTTTTTAACATAATACCTCAACAAATTCAAAATTTTAATGAAAATAATTTTAAATCAAGGATAAAAAAATACTTGATAAAAAATGCCTTTTATAGTTTTGAAGATTTTATTGACAGTAATGTAGCTCGAAATGTTATCATTAATCTTAGTAAGTCGTTTATCCTATTTATTTATTTTAATTATATGTTGTTTATGTATATTTGTATAACAGTTAGTTGATTGCTATCATTATGTGTATTGTTATTTACCACTTTCTTTTTTTTTGGACGCGTGTAAACACTTTTATGTGTATGTAACACTAGCCTTTATAAATAAAATAAATAAATAAATATTATGAATTTATATTACTTTACCTCATATTATTTTTTCATACTCTATTTCTCATTAAAATTATGAAGAGGAATTATATCATAAATAGCTCAATAAGCGTGATATAGAGAGTTAAGTACCTTTTCTTTGACAAGTGCCACTCTTAGGGAATTCGCAACACACCTGTTGCATAGCCAGTAAGTTACTACAACCTCTTTATGTTTGTGATATTTTTGCAAAAAACTTTTATAATGAAATATTTTTATTTAGGACGTAATGCAAAGTAATTTCGAAATAATGTAATATTAATTACATCTAAAACGACAAATACACTCTGAGTATATCTTGCTGTCAGGAATTTTAATGATAACCTCATAAGTTTTGCTTCTATATTTGTACTGTCATTTAGTGGTTCCTTTCTACTGCAAG